TATTCCTAATTAGACGGAAAAGATTGTGACTGTTACCAACCGCTGAAACGTAGAGCGCACAGTCGGTTGCTGACTGGAATCCAGTCAAGAAGCGGGTGTTCAGCCTTGGCACTTATCGCGATTCCGACACCAGCAACACCTTGAGCTTCGGATGCCGAATCGCCTGACACACGAAGGGTGAAGCGTGAGGTTCAGAACTCAGGGAGATAGTTGAAGTAAGGTCATGTATGCGTATTTCGGAGATACAACATCTAAATTGAAAGTTTCAAGGGTTCTATCCAAGGTAGCTTGTTGACCAATCTGATAGTGTGTTGACATTGAACGCGGCTAAGGGAAAAGCTAATTTTCGTTTCAAAAAGCCTATAACTTCTGATTCGTTGGCCTTAGTGGTAGAACGCTGAGTGATATACGATGTGTCTTGTAAACAAGAGGCATTTGAGATTATTCGGGATTGGGAGGAAGAACTAGCCAGATGGGAAAGAGGTTTTTCCATATGGGTGTCAAGACTTTAGTGCACGACGTACTTCGCGGTAGGCCAAACCAATAAATGAGTTTTATTTTGGCAACCCCAACCGGAGCTTTTGACTTAAAAGTCTGACCCGCCAGGCAGCGGGAGTTTGCTGGTTTTTCTTTGGGAAGCATTCGACTCAAAATGCCGACCTGTAAGGCAGTGGGACGCAAATCCAACGTGGGAGCATGAAAGAAACACCCGTGTGAGAGCTTCTGGAGACCTGTCACGCAAGGTCTTTGAATTTCGACTAATTGTCTTGTTCGCTGGTGCGTTGATTATCGGTCCGATTTTCGGGGTTGGCCCTTGGCCTCATGCACCCAATGAGACAAGTGGAATGTGGACGGGACAGTACCTTATTGGCTGGGGGCTGCCCGGCTTGGGGTGGCGGTAGCTGTCCAATGAAGTGCAAAGACTTCTCCCACCGTCGAATGGAAGCCCCAGGTACCGCACTCTACGTTCACCTAGAGGGGTTTTCCGACCGGTAAACTGCCACTCTCCGTGTTAATTTGTTGAATTGACCTCTCCGATGGCGGGTTTGGATAGGCGAACAAACCTAGGAGGTGCCCAAGCAGCTGGATTTGTGAGACTGAGCTTTCTCTGGCCTCTACCCACTGACCTTTCAGGCATAATTGGATTTCCCATTGTGAAAAGCCATCCTGTCTAGCTCGCAGGGTCATCGAGGCATGCAAACCATCACACCACGTCAAGATGCAGTCCACGTTCAATCTAATATAGTGCAATCGTGAAACAAAATGCTGGTATTAATCAAACTCGTGCAACGCTCTGATTTTCATCCCAGTTTTAGTCCCCCCCCCCGTAATTTTTAATTTTTGAGCCCCATTTATAGGGTTGAACATTATATAGTCCCGCATCAGGAGGAACATATCTCTACTAATACCCACGTTTGCAGTTGCTTCCAATGATCAAGCTCTATTAAATGTAAGATTTCTCGCTTTTGACACCGTTGGCTTGTGCATCAGTTTTAAGGTGACAAAGCCTCAGTAAGGACAGCATTGGGATTTATTTATAAAAATGACTCATAGGCATGATACAGATATTGCACTTTCTTCTTATCAATGTTCTATTTGTCCTTCTTTTTTTGAACACCGGAGCCAATTGTTTGATATAGAATCCACCAAATTGACTATCAAACAGCATTTACCAGTTTCCCCTAATNCCGATGACCACTGTAAAGGTAGCCAACTTATCTTTGTTTTTAACACCAGGAAGTTTTTCAAATCCCAAGTGCTGAATGGTAATTGAATGAGTTCGCCATTGGACTTGACCCATTCAGAAACTGCATAAATGTGAAAAAAGTACTCAATGAGGTCTAACCAACCAACTTCGCGCGAGACGCTATGCTAAACATTATCTAGGAAAAATATGACTTCTGCGGGTGCATTTCGAGAGTGATAGTTATCGAAAACGTTCCTCATCGATGCAACAAACTTCGCGATTTCTAGAGTACCACGTAGGGTAGGCCAACAACGAGGGGCAGGGTATATGACATGAAATTCATTAGAAAACTAGGTCAGTAGGTCAGCTCTCTCCGTCTGACCACCAATGAGACTAATCTAACGTTAAAAAGACGACCTGCTGTTCATATTGAGGCATCGTTTTTCAAGCGGTTGTGTGAGAAAAGTGCGGCTAATCTACCCGGACTATCTTCCACATTGGTTTCGTGCTACTTTTCTCACCTTTGATCGAACCCAACCATCGTTTTACTTCAGTATGATTGGTTTTCTTGCTTTTGGTCTATGTCATGAAGGAAAAATTCCGTTGATTATGCCATGTATTGAACTGATGTTCGCACGGAAGCACTTGCAAAAGTTAGGAACTAAGTCATCGGATCTATGTGCCTCTCGAATAAGTTACCTCTGGACTTAAATTACTTGCCAAAAACTCTTGGGTGTTCCGTCCGATTTTAGCGTGATGACACTACACAAAGCCTAGTGAACGAGTCGCACCCTTCAAGGTCAATTTTTGGGAGTCATTTTGCACAAGTTCGATCAAAACCTTTATATATCGTGCATGACGTAAATGGAACAACCGTATCTATCAGCTAACTAATTGTCATTAGTCAGTTATGATGAAGTCCATCGTTAATGCTCACCCCAGGAGGCTTTAGACATAGACCTTATTTCTCAAGTGTAGGCATAATTCTCTACTGTATCATTTGTATATATACAGATATCATATACCGTGGAAAGGTTAAGCTAGTTAAATTCAACCTAAACCATCGGATAAATTATTCACATCTAAGTGACTCCGCAGGTTTTTCCGGACCAGTTAATCCAAATTAATAACAGATCGACCGCGACGTTCAAATCTCTTGTCAACCAATAATTTGTGCCTTTTTTAAACTAATGAGTTGCGTTCCCGGACAACGATATTCCATGATATCGGATGTTCGAAACACCTTTTCCTTTTTTGGACTCTCAAATGAGACAACACATAACACCCTGTGGTAGATTGACACGTAAGTTGCAAATAACCTGACCACAAATAATCTCAAAGGGAAAATTCATCGTGTAAATAACAAATGAACCGTGCACTAAAAAAATAGGAAGTACTGGACAGATGTTTCGACTTGGTTGGCTCGCATCACCAGTGCTTCCTAGCTTTTCAATCCACGCTTCATTTGTTGTATACACGATGAATTTCCGCTTTGAAATTGAATCAAACCCTCCTTTACTCACATGAAACAAGTATTCAGCTTGTGAATATTTCTAACCGAGTCATAACCCCGGTGGCTAGAGCTGAGGCAAACGAGGCGCGATGCTCCCAACAAGCTCGCAAAAATGAGTTATGCTATGTCTTGGAAATGGAAACAAACCGGTCTGATCAGCTGTCCGGTGGCCGAGTGGATAGCAGGCTTGCGTTCTGCCCGTGAGGTCCTGGGTTCGATCATCAGTTTGGTCGATGGATTCGCAATGCTGAAGATGCCCAGCTGGGTCAAAACAGCTGTCCAGTGCTTCCTAGTTTTTCAACTTAAGTAATCATTTGCACTTGCTGTAATCAGGTTCTTTTAGAAAATATGAGGCTTTGTGAGCTACATTTTGACATCTAGACACCGCTGAAACTCGCACATTGCGTTATCTTCATACTACGGCGAAGGGTACATTTCAGTCGAAGGCAAACCTTGATCATCCTTCTATTACACGTCGGGTTTTGTAACTTTTGTTTGTCACTTTGTAAGCATCAGACTTGGCTTTCATTTGACGAGGACTGGAAATCAACACGACAGTCATGATTCTATGCCCTCGTTGCAATTATCTGAGGAATCAGTTAGACGCGGAAATGTCCTTCAGTGACTTTACCTGAAGTAAATAATATTAACTCTTTCATGGTATATGATACAAGTGAGAAATAAATTCGATTGGTAAAGCCTACTTTTGCGCAACAAAGATGGATTTCATACAACTGACACGTAGTCAGCTGATACAAGACAGATATGTATTGGAAGATGATAGATACCATTTACGCCAGGCACTGCATATATGTTTAAAACAAATATATGCTTGATATAGCGGCAATATTGTAGGATTTAGCCGATAGTACAGTCCCACATTTTTCTGTTTTATCTACGATGTTGTTACTTTTCAAAAAGAAAGAAGTTCTTTGGGGCATAATAAGGGAGTATTTTTAATTGTGACCATTCCTCTGGTCCAAAACAGATGTCAAAAAGCTACTATATTTCATCGGCATGCATCTCAAGAAAAGATCAGATCATACATACTCGATAATGAAGTTAAGATAGCAATCTCTTCTCAAAATCACTTGTGTTTCTCATGAACATATGCTGAAGTTATTTTTCACACATGCAGCTGATTCCATGCAAAAATGGAGAAATGTTTAGATTTTAAAGATGGACTGCGGCTTCATGGATCGAATTCAAGACCGTGCCGTTGTAACGAAGGTCTTATTTCCCTCACCATTGTCTCAGTCAACCATCAGAAAAACTTTTTTCGATTGTTTGAAATTTAAAAATACCTGCTCAAGGTTATATTCCATAACCTCCGATTCAAACGTCTATGATGAAAAATGTTCTATTCGTTCTATCATGCGTGTCTCATCACATCCACCGAGTGGCTAAAAATTGCTATTTGCGTAGCAAACCATCTCCATAAGGGAAAATCTCATATTCTGTTTGTTATACCTTTGAAGACTGTAAAATACAACGGGTGACAGTAAACAGGAATCCAGAGCGATTAACTACTATGCAGTTTATCTCATCTTAATTACGGACGTACATGCCCAAGACTAGCTTGGATTTGATTTCTTGCTTCGGTCACTTCCCGAATACGTTCCGCCAGGGTAGCGTTCACATCATTCCAGTGATCAGACAGGTATTGCGCAATCTGGGCCAAAGTATTTCCAATATTCTCACGCAGTTTTCGACTGTTAACACGTTCGGATCGGCTACGATTCACAACATCGTTGACATGTTGATTCCACGTTTCCGGAACGGATAAACTACCACCACCACCACAAATCATGTGAATTCGGGGGAAATAGTTGTGAACGAAATATTATCCGATAGCAACATCATATGAAAATAAATCGATTACTATTTAAACACACTAGAATTCATTGAATTGAGTGAACAAAAACAGACGTCATCTAGCAAGCGAGAACTCAAATATGTGCACAAGCTTTTACCGATTTGGGTCGATTAAGCTAGTAAAACAAAACCGCAATTCCAGATGGTAAAGTATCGGGAGACGGACAAGTATTTTTAAGTATATTTTACTGTTTAAAGATTGAAAATCAAAGCATCAATCAGCCTCTAAACAAACGCCAAAAAACGTACAAAATCCGGTCTGAATGCTGTTGGATCCGGAGTGGGCAGGTTTTGGCCATTGCTCGAGCATTCCGTTCATCCAAACTGTGACAAGTATAAGGTACATTGTTCTAAAACGCTGAGCAGGTAGAGGAATTCACACCATTCTGATTGCGGTAAAAAGTCGGGAGCCTTTTCCAAAATCCGGGCCGATAAAGAATATAAAACTGCTTGATGGATGAGTAATCATGGAACAAATAAGTGGGGAAAAAATCCAATATTGTGTGACAGAAACAAAGAGACAATGCACAATTCTTTTATTATAATACTGTCCAAACCGTTTCTTTTCCTCGGAGGCCTCAAGACACGTTTTGTGCAGACCGCTGACCAGTAATTTGGAATTTGCGTTGACAATAAGTCAAAACGTTCTTGAGTTCAGCGGGGCAGTTTCAGACCTTGATATTTTGGTATGCTTCCCGGCCATCCACCCTCACTTTTGCAGTTGGGTTCAGGTCAGGAACCCGCGAGAGAACCATTACACAACTGCGGTTCCACCAAATGTGTCTTGTGGTATTCCCGGAGTATAGCAGCAGCTGGGCAATACTTCTTTTGTTATACAAAATCATTTGGCATAGAAAATAGCAAACAAAATGAATAACTAGTCAAATGGGATCTTTTTGTTATCAGTATGAGTTCCTGAAACCGAATATGGCCAATCCTGGTCCATGTTATCCGTGTGCTTAAGGTGGAATGAGAAGGATGAGGATGAGTTGATGGGCCACGGGAGGTTGAGTGACTTCACATATTGTTTTGAGCGCACAAGGGGGGATTAAGGAGACGAATTCCAACCACCTCCACGGTGGTTAGTATGCAATTTTTAATCCGCTTAGATCGATGACCACCAGCACGGTATAGAGGCCGAAACGTATCTTTCACCCTCACTATGTAATCGGATTCCACTAGGTGTGAAACGATGGCACTTCTAACAGTTTTAGTTGCACCTGTGTTCAGCCAGGCCAGATGATGTTCCGGCACTTTTGTAGAGTGGCCCCTGTTAGTGCAGCCCATACAGGTTGATCCACAGGAACACGTAAACAGGTACACAAAACGAGAGTGCAGAAGCAGGAATCTCCTCTCTGATTTGCGAAAACATGATCGGTCTGGACGTGAATAGGACACGTAATTTTGCCGCATGGAAGGTTTTCTCCAACGCAGTTATTAGTTTACGGCTAACCAACTCCGTGGCTGTAAGCCCTTTGAATGAAAGATATGTACACAAACCTCTTCTTGGCGTTTATTAGTTTCTCCTTTGGACAATTATTTCATTCAACGCTATGCACAAAGCGTTTTGATAACCATTTCGTAGGAAGACAGCACGGATAAATGACAGCTCCGCATGTATGTGTTCGCAGTGCAGGTTCAGCCAGCTCTGCTATACGAAGCAGAAACTTGGCCATTAACAAGCAGGATAAAGATAGACTGTCGGTGTTTGAACACCGCTGTCTACGTAGCATTGCACGA